AACAATTTATTTTCTAATATGGGACTTTACAGCATGAATCCGAATATAATCAGGTTCCAATATGAATAACAGACACCGAACATTAAGTGAAAAACCAAAAAAATAAGATTTAATGTGCATCGATGATAAGGTACTAAGTATTGAACACTCTCAAAAGATATAGACTAAATTCCACCTTGCCTCCTTAATCTTTCGGGGTAAGGAAATAATATCGTCTTGCACCTTTTGAACGGAAAAAAAAAGAACTCCGTTTGATCCAAAAGTTAACCAAAAGATTATAAAATCCTTGCCAGAATTTTCAGAATGAAATTATTATCCCTGCTATATTATTGTACTTTAATTTAATCGCATACGCTTGTTAATTGCCATAAAAAGTGATTTAGTGACACGCTGTCCTATGAAGTTAAAATCTTAAATTCATAGTTAGTAATTAGGTTCAAATTATATTCATTGCCACTGTTAGGGGTGTAAAAAAACCGATAAATCGCATCAAACCGATAATCCGAGTTAAACCGGGAAAAAACCCCGATCATGGGTTGGTTTGATTTGGTTTGATGTTGGAAAAAAACTCGATTATAATTGGTTTGGTTTGGTTTTAACTTAAAAAAGTCAAACCGAAACCAAACCAACCCGATACTACATTTATTCAATTTTTAAAAATATTTTATACATATAAATATTTATTTTTAATATGATTTATAAATATTTTTTAAACTTTTTCACAGTTTTATCTTTAAACATATTATTTGAAGTTTGGACTTAACATTCTTGAATGGTTCAAAAAATTTATAGCTCATAAAGGTAGTAATTCAAATAAACTTCACATCAATACTAATGCTAACAAAGAAAATTCAATTCAACACTAGAAATGACAATAGTGTTGAATATCTATTTTTTAGTTTTGCATTGATTTATATTGAAAATGCATAACTTAGTTTATCTTTTTCTTTAAGTGCTTAGTTGTGTAATTAATATATTTATAGTTGTACTTATTTTAGCATGACTTATATAGTACTTTTAGATTATGTTAATATTTATTATAGCTTATTACTTAGTAATATTTTCTTTATGGGTTTTATTATCTTTGTTATTGAATATTTTAGTACAATGTCTTATGACTCATTTCATATTATTGTATTATTTTCTTGAAAAATATATTATTTAGTTGTATCCTATTAGGACTAGAGAAATATTTGGAGCACAAGTTATATATTTTGTCCTATGAAGACTTATCTGAAAAAAATCCGAAAACCCGAAAAAAACGAGAAAAACTGAAATTGAAAAAACCCGAATTTATTAGTTTGGTTTGGTTTATAAATTTAAAAACCCGATACCATTGATTTGGTTTGGTAATTGAATAATCCGAGCCAATCCGACTTATGTATACCCCTGACCACTGTTATGCGTCGCGTACCATAATCTTACAAGACATATTTTCACATGCTTCTTTATCTTATTATTAGTCTAACACTTCCCCAATAATCTTAATTTCCATTTGATAAAATTTGTGTTACAACGGCTTCTTCTTTCAAAGTGGCATGTTGGTAAAATTACAAGTAATTACAGTTGAAAAATAAAATAAAAAAAATAAAATAAAAATTCTTCAGGCTGAGGCGCGGATATTTCGCTCTCTTTAAGAAGATTCAAGTCTACTGCGGTAGCATCTTCACTGGTCCAACAGTAATACTCTTGACTTGTCCCCTCCAGGATACAACAGTCCGACAACGTCGTATGACTCGAACAAACTCTGGACAAGTTGTTGAGTCCAAAGCTCCACCAAAATGAACGAGTGATTTTATGGTGTGTCTCACACAACTGATATTAGTTGTGTGAGGCCTCTTTTTATCTCACACATTTATGGATCCATATCTTACATATTTGGGTCCACAAAATTCTGGGACCACAAAGTTGTGAGACAAAAAAGAGGTCTCGCTCACCTAGCGTCAGTTGTGTGAGGCACAAAATAAAAAATTCCAAAATGAACACCGTCCTTCAATCAAAATAATATTCTCTTTTGTAGAGAAAAAGTTCGAGACTTAGATTTTTTCTTTCTCTTAACTCTTTTTTTCAAAATACTAACCACATCTTTTTCATATACACTGTAACACTTTTCTCATTCACAACACAAAGAAGAAACACCACCATTTATAGGTGTAGAATCTCTTCCTTAAAATAAATAATAAGATAGTGAGATAATAAATTAGTAGAACATGGGTTGGTGGTTATAAAATATAAGCTTTAGTGGGTAATAAGTGGTAAATCATGGCATTAGTGGTTTCATGAGTTACACCAAACTACCAAAGTAATGATCACTTTCTTGCCATTTTATAATCACTATTTCACAAGAAATAATGCACTTTAATATTATAATTTTAATATTAAAATACGCTAACACCAACCCACCATAGATCAAAACCTTAAGTTCAAAACTCTTATAAGATGCAATATTTCACTGATGTAAGGATCACTAACGGATGTATCAAAATCAAGATGACAAAAAACAGAGAATTAACTCAATACCATCATCAGTTTGAAAATAGATGGACCAACCAAAACAGAACACTAGCCTTATTTTGTAGACTGATTGAGACCACCCTTCTATTCTAGCGCACAATGTTCACCAATTAGACGGGAACATAATTGGGGCCTACAATCTCCGGGTCATGCGCATGATGAGTTAGCTTGCTCAGTATATATCATTTTCACAATTCTATAGCAAATAAGCCATGTAGTAACTTCTAAGATTTGTTTACCATATTAATTAGTAATACTAGTTCTTGTTTGCTTTAAGAAGCAATACTAAAACTTTAATGTTGGATAAAGTTTTTAAATTATTGAGCTGTCCAAACGTAAGATTGGCCCCTGACGATTGACAAGAGCACATGCAAGTCGGTGCTGTATTAAAAGGGACATGCAAAACATGATTCATGATTGAGGGAATGGTATACACTTTTTTTTCCCCCAAAAAATATCTAATGTCCGTATTGGGGCCAAAATAATTTAGATTCTTATTAGAGGGAGCGCTCTCTATTAAGACAATTATATATTCAGGGTTCGAACCCAAAATTTTTAATCAGAAACATAAAAGTATTTATCGCTCTACCATGATCGTTTGTAATAATGGCGTATACACTTGCATATTTTGAGAAGTCAACTTGTTATGAGTCGCTTTAAACTCCCACGCTGTCACTCAAATGGACCATCTCCTTAAAATCCTAGTGAACATGGGAAACACATCAAAGCTGTCGTGGACTAACTGCATCCATACACGTGTGACGATTCGGTTTGTTCCATAATAATAAATAAAGATCAACCTATCAGCTTCGAATAGTAGAGTCGCAATGTGCATCTATTTGGAAATTTTTATGAAATATTTGTATTTAAACTCTTTTTTTTCTTTTCCTAAAAGTTGTTTTATTTAAAAACTTGCAAAAATAATTTAGTTGATTGAAGCTTCCGACTCGTTACTCTAGCTTGTCTCCAACGATACGATCAACTAACTAAAAGGCTAAAAGTTGAATTGCCGTGGGCAAGTTCAATTTCCTATGATCTTGTGATAACTGATAGAGTTATTGGTTGAGGCTGAGGGCGGACATTATTGTTTTGCTACTATAGGATATTGATTATTTCTTACTTCTTGAACTAGTTTTTTTAGATTGAATTAAATAAAATATTTATTTTCTTTTCATTAACCAGTGACGGATGAAGGATTGTATTCAAACGTAGAAGCTATGTGTTTAGATATGGTTCATTTAAATTCATAACTTTTGCTCATACCCTATATTTTATCTAATTAAATATAAAATAAATTTGAACCCATTATATTAGATGAACAACAACAACAACAACAACCCAGTATAATCCATTAGTGGGGTCTGGGGAGGGTATTGTGTACGCAGACCTTACCCCTACCCTGGGGTAGAGAGGCAGTTTCCAAATAAACCTTCGGCATCCTTTCCTCTAAGAACTCCCCACCTTGCTCTTGGGGTGACTCGAACTCACAACCTCTTGGTTGGAAGTGGAGGTTGCTTACCATCGGAGCAACCCCTCTTGTCTTAATTAGATGAAATGTTGTAAAATTGCTAATCTGAACTTCTAAAGTTCAAATTTTGGATCTGCCTGTGAACGAATGCATAATGCAGCGATTGAGTTTAACCAAAACTAAGTAACTACAACTATGTGTTAAAAACACGTTAGATATGTGCAGAGGCGGACACAAGTGGATTTAGGGGGCGGAAGGGATCGCTGAAAAATTACACTATATATATAAGACAAAATTTGATTTTTATCTCTACATATATATTATGTTTTGAATCCCTTTGTAACAGCCTAAAAGCATAACTTAGTGGTCAAGGGAGTCAAAACCTTTATGAAGTCATTGATTCAATTCCCACTAGCTACAAACTTTCTTTAACTTTTTTCTCTTTTGAACCGCTTAATGGTTATTTCTGTCTGAGCCAAGATTTGAAGCTAATGGGTTCAGAATTCCATTCCTTCTAAATTACTGGGTTCTAAATTAATGATTTGTGCATATTCAATGAATTTTTAAGAACAAATATAGAGTTTGGACCAAAGCTACTAGGTTCGACCGAACCCACATCCAAAGCTATAGCTCTACCACGAGATATGTGCAAATAATATGTTCCGTAAAAGAAATCAAATAAACAATAAGTTTAAAATATCTCAAATCATAAAGTTCAAATCTTAAATTGGCCTCTAACATTAACCATTGTTAAATGGAATCGTTTTAATTCATGTTACTTTTCTAGAAGAAGTTATCACGGATTTATTAAAGGACAAAAAAGTAAGAAAATTGTGAATGGCGTTTTTATTCAGCTATCAAAAAATAGAAAAATCCGCAAGTCAAATAAAGGATTTAAGGCCGAAAATGTCGGGAAGAGAATAGTTGCCGAGTAATTAAATCTGAATACTGACAGTTTGTAGTGGGTCCCATATATAGCCTGTCCAATTCCTTCCCCTTCCTATAAATTCCTCCAATTATTTTCCTCCCTTTACCCACCTCATCTTCTACCAAAATAATCAGGAAAATTTTCCGCCGGAAAATCCCCCAGAATTTTCCCTTCTTCTCAAATGAAGAAATCAGGAATTGTGATTGCTTCTGTAACTGCAGCTTCTGCTACTGCTATTTCTTCTTCAACTTCTTCTTCTTCTTCTTCTAAAGTTCGAATTTCTCGTCATCAGGTAAAAATTCCGTTCTCTGTTCTCTCCCGTTTCTATTGACTTAAACTCTGAAACAGATCTATTATTTTAAATCAGTAGATTAACGGGGATGGAGCTAGTAAGAGGGAAGGCGTAGTGGCGTAGCCACATGTTCAGTTGAACACCTTGATCGGAAAATTATACTGAGTGGGCGTTTGGACATAAGAATTGTAAAATTAAATAAAAAAAAGTGAATTTTTTTTGAAGTGAAAATGGTATTTGAAAATTAAAGTTATGTTTGGACATGAATATAATTTTGGATTATTTTTTGATTTTTGTAAGTGATCTGAGTTAAAATTTTGATTTTTTTTTGAATTTTGGAGTTTTTAAAATTTTCTAAAAATTCAAAATTCATTTTCAATTGAAAATTGAAAATTTTATGGCGAAACACTGGTTTCGAAAAAAAGTGAATTTTATTTTTTCGAAAAAAAAAGTAAAAAAATTCTTATGTCCAAATAGGCTCTGAATATATAGAAAATTATACGATAGATATATAGGTCAAAGATTATATTTTACAAATATATATTAAATTTTGTACATACTTTGCAAAATTTCTAGCTTCGCAACTAGGAAAGGGGGTTTAACGAACCTGTTCATAAAAAATTATACTTTGCAAATAGGATAAAATTTAATTTTATTTATTATATATAAACGGTTGAATATCATTGATATTGCGAGAAATTCGTGGTAAAGAGGTTCAAAAAGTTGGTTTAAATCACAAGTTCTCAACTATGATATTTTAGTACTAATATTTTTTCGATGTCCTTATATAAATTTTTGACTCCGCTGCTACATACGGTGTACAATTGTGCTAACTAATTATTTGAGATAATTGATTTAGATTTAGTATAGTTTTAACTGCTTAACATATATATTCATTGAGTAAAAAAAAATTAGTATAAGTTTTACTAATGGATATCGTTACAGTCAAAGGTAATTAGTCTATTTGAATCGGCCAATTCTTAATTATCTTGGTCAATAAAGAAAATTTCGCGTCTCCTAACTAAAATTAACCTTTTTTTTAATTTCCCATGAATTTTGGTCGATTTTCTTTGTGGAGATGAAAAGGCATAAATTTTTTCCTTCTTTTGTTAAATTAATTCAGGATGATAGTTTGAAGAAGAAGAAGAAGAATGGAAATTCTTCAAAGTCAGTGTCAGCACCTGCATCTTCAGATAAATTTGCTCCAAAATTTGATGGATTAAGATTTATTGAGACACTGGTTACTGCTCACAGATAAGTTAAATTTCGGCGAATTCTTGAGTTTTTATAAGGGGCAGTAAAATTTTTGACGGATTTATAGGAAATATCAGAGAAAAAAAATGAATTTGTATGATAATTACCCATTTTTCTTGAATTTTTATCTTTTTCGTTTTTTATTTGGGGTTACTGAATTTTCATTTCCTGATTCCTGTTATGAGTTGTCTGTATAACTCAATTAGCCAATTGATGACTCTGTATTGAGGGCTCTGTTTTTCTAGTTCAATTGTAGAGGAACAGAAAAGTTGAAGGAACAAAAGTAGCTTTTTCCTATTGATTTTTGGATTCTTTTTTACTTTTTGCTTTTTGCTTTTTTTTTTTTTTAATTTATAATTATTATCATAGTTGATTTTTTTTCTTTTTCTTTAATTTGTTCGGAATTGATGCATATCTAAAAAGGCAAGGCCAGTATACAAAATATCATGTATTCGCGCTGGATTTGGGGAAGGACCGTATTTCTAGGGGTGTGGTGTAGGCAATTTATCATAATTTAACCAGTGGTTACTTCTACGATTCGAACCTGTAACTTATAGGTTACACGGAGTCAACTTCGCTATTGATTCATAACTGTTAGTATTATTTTATAACGATAGTGTTCGAGTCAGCTTGGGCACACTTCGATAATTTTCCTTTCACCCGTATTAATAACTTTATTCGTCAAAATTTAGACATATGAAAGGAAATTACTTACTATATTTTTTCTTTTTTTGCTGCGATTTAAATCCTAATTTCGCATGATTTTTAGTTTATTACCTACTTCACGTGTGCGATTGGTGAATTGTTATCGTATTCTTCATATGATTGGTTGATAGTTTTCATTCAAAGTAAAAAAAAAAATGATTAATTTATTGTTTGTAATTGTATGTTTAGAAGTTTTGACAGGGCCAAAAGGTTAGGACCATTTCTTTACCTTTACCTTTTCTTTTTCTAATAAAATTGGGACAAATGGCATGATCAATTACCAGAAAACAAAAACCAAAAGAATAGGCCATCCACAAGTTTGTTGAATTTGGTATATTAGACGAATATAGTTACTTGTTATTCAAGTCAATTAGGGGAGACGTCACAATTTGATTTTGGCAAGCAGCTTTATTTTTTCATAGCGTGTCGGCTGTGAAAAATAAAGAGGAGTTATTTAGAGTGAATTACCAAATGCACCTTAAAAATACAAGTACATTTTGACTACTCGCCCATCTAAACACTTGAAACAAATTGGCGAGTTGAGTTATTCATTCGGTATTTATGCTAGTGAAAGATAATAGGTATTTGATGGATTAGTCAAAGCGTATGTTTGCTTTCCGAACACCACTATTATGAAAAATATCAGCTGTTACAAAGATAAAAGTCGAAGTATTATACTACTTCATCCGTCCCATTGTATGTGACGGTATTCTAATTTCGAAAATCAACCAAATTTATCTTTGACCTTATTTAAATATTATAATATTTTTACATAGTTTTTAAATATATAAATTTTATATCAAAAAAAATTAAAGATGCTATGTCCGAGTTCATAGTTAAATGAACTCATTTGAACTGTGAACTCATTTGACTTTCGAAATTTATTTGGTGAGGCCTTTTCATTATTATGGCCATAAACTATAACAACTCCAGCTCTTTTGACTACAATACACACGAAATTGAATTCCAGTAATCTAGTTATTTGAAAAAGAGCATTTACCTTTACTACAGCTAGGACTAAGGTCAGTGGAACAAACTGCACCAAATACACCATAAGCCTAAGCAAAATAAACATCAAATTTAGACACTCTTGGTTCCTAGTAAAGCGTAAGCAGTCCGGTGCATTAAACTCTCGTTATGTGTAGGGTCCGGGGAAGTATCGGACCGTAAGGGTCTATTGCACGCAACCTTATCCTAGATTTCTGCAAGATGCTATTTCCACGGCTCGAACTCATGACCTCCTGATCACATGACAACAACTTTACTTATTACGCTAATACTCCCCTTCATTCCTAGCAAAGTGTATATACACATAAAAGAAGCCCTCTTTGCTAGGAAAGATAGGGTACTAGGCTGTTTGTCTGGTTTCTGTTCTGTCCTCTGTACTTTTTTGTACCATCTTGGTACTTCATTACTAATAAAACTTTTACTAGTGTCTTATATATATAGAGAGAAAAAGTCCCACAAACACTAAATCATAAGTGTATGCTTATTCAGCAAAGCAATTCCAATGTCTTTCTGCAAATTCAACCTCCACAATGCTATATATTGTTTTGTTTTTTCCCACTTTCTTTCACTTTTTTGGCGGGGAAAGGGAGAGGAGCATCTTTCTGCTCCTCTTTATTTTGTAATGGGAATATTCTCTAAGTTTTTGCATTCATAACATGTGAGCTAGCGGTCAATAAAATAGGACGAAAATCATAAAAGATCAAGGTTCGAATTACAAAAAAAATATTAAAATAAAATGTTACGTGGTTTCTTGAAATATGTCTAAACCTTTATAGATAGAATTATTTGTTACATGTACTGATGAAACATAACTAGCGTCAATGTATGCACACACCATCGTTATTAAAATAAAAATCTTTCTTTCGGCTTGTTCATGCCTTAAATGATAAATTATTGATTCTAAAAGTAATTGTGACGACAGAGTACACTCACACCACAACAAAAAGATAATTAAGAATTGGTGTTTTATTTACAAGTTACAAATGTATATGGAGATCGAGTCAACCCTATCCGACTCGACATTGATTCATGGTTGAAAGGGATATACAGTCGATGTACTTAATTGATGATTATCCGTACAATAATGACTAATAATTTTCTCATATAATAAGTCGATTTCAGATAATTTAGTATGAGCTATAATCCATTGGCCTATGTGATCTTAAGGGTGGAACAGTTGGATCAAAGTCAAAATATAACCTGATAGGCAAGATTCTCATTTTCTTGTACATCACATTCTTGTTTGTAAATGGACCTTACGTCTATAATTTTGCAGGAGTGGTAATTTGAGTCCAAACTCATTTAACCTGTTTAATCCGTCCAAGATTGGGCCTGTCATTGATTCACCTATTTGTTGAACTCAGTTCATCTTGATTTAACCCATCTAAAATTGAGTTAATTTTTATCCTAAATTGACTCATGAGTAACTTTGCTAAAATATCTGAAAAATAATTCATTTTTTATATGTTATATATGACCATAACAAAAGAAAAATTATCTTATTTGATAATTAAACAATTCATAAGAAAACTAACACACAATATATAAAGCTTGGTAAGAGTTAGGCGGATTGAGATATGACCCAAAATTTGCCTATCTTGACCCAGTCATTTCAGTCTAAGTAACTTTTGGGCGGATCAATTTATTGACTCATCCGATTTTGACCCGCCTAAAATTAGCCCTACTCACTCATTTAACACCCCTAGTCTTTTGCTTTCCTCCCCTAAGAAACGAAGTATAAAAGAAAACTCTCATAAGAGCAATAGACAGGAAGACGGAAAAAAAATTAAAGGCTAGGTGATTTTATTCCTATCTGACTAAACTTTGGTGGCCCGAGCTATTTGGTACTTGTACTGATGAAAGATAGCAAGTACCGATGAAATAATCTTTGTATAGATTAGTGACAGCGACAGAACTTTCACTAACGAAATTTAAAAAGTAAAATAAGAAAACATGCAAAGAGAGCCAAGAGAATTCATCACTAAAGTACAAGAAAAATAAATTAACCTTATATACACAATATATATAATTTATAAGGAAGGGGGTTAATATGTAGAATTCACCATTGAGCAATATATAGAAGGAAATATTAAAACTCCACAGAATGTGAATGAAGAATTACAGATCCCAATTATAGGGATTGAATATACATCTCAACAGCATAGTATATACTGAAGTATATGAAAGAATTACTTAGAGCAATAAAAATAAAAGTTCCTTCAAATGTTAAACAGTATGATTAGAATGGTAGCAATTAGCACTAGTACCATAGAGGATTTACTGCCTTTTGCAGAATTGCTCTTTTGTTCCTCAGGTTTATTTCCTTCAGGAGGAGTGATATTATCACAATTTAAGCCTTTTTTGTCTTCCTTACACATATTGGCAAAAAGACCAGGTGGATATTTCCCATATAGATTAATGTAATTAAACATAATTGTTGCACAACCATTTTGCACATCATTTATTTCATCCATATGGTTGCAGGCTAATTGCTTGAATGCATTGCAACATAGAGTTTCATTGTAGTGAGGTCCTTTGCATTGGCTTGTTACAATGGTGTAGTTCTCCTTCTCAAAATCAACAGGACAATCTTTTAGGAAAAGAAAAATTAAAGAAGAAGTTAGGACACTAGTTTAAATTGGTAGCTAAGCAAATTATAAAAGAATAAAAAAAAACAGAAATTAATTTTGAATTGGACGGGTTGAGTTATGACCTACAATCTGTGATTTAGCCCAAATTGGCCTGTCCTTTTTGATTAAAGCAAAATTAAATTTGTTGGGCTAAAACGACCAAAAATAATCTTAACATGGTTGCTATTGCCCACTTTGGGCCAAACTTGCATGTTTTTTCCCAAAGGTCTCACACTATTAAGGGATACATAAATAGACTCTCAATCTTTTTAGCTATCAATGTGGGACTTTGTTCGCACATCCAACAATCTCCCCCTCGAACTAAGTTCCACGAGGCTCATTACCACGATCCTCGGGTCAATTTTCGAGATTCACGGCGTGTCATCCACATTGTATTTTGATACTAATTGTTGGGCTAAGCCAGTCCAAAGACACTCTTAACATTTTGTAATATTATCCGCTTTGGGCCAAGCCCGTACAGTTTTCTCAAAGGCATCATACCCAGAGGCAGAGTCGGGATTTCAAGTTTATGGGCTCGGAGATTCTAATTGTTTTCAGTTATTGGGTTCTAAATTAATAATTTATATATATTCAATTAATTTTTTAAGACAAATACATGGTTCGAACCAAAGCTAGTGGGTTCGACCGAACCCGCACGGGACACTCTAGCTCCGTCCATGATCATACCATTAAGACATCCCTACACTTTATGTATAGACACTCAATCCTTTCAGCTACTAATGTAGGGCTTTATTCGTGCACTCAACAAAACTGTTATGATTCAACTCCTTTATTGATTAGATCTTTTTCAACCTGTCCTAATATAGCACAACACACCCTTTTGAATAAATTTCAAGCTTGTGTTGTAAAGTAAACTACTGATTTAACGTAACTGGCAAACATTTGTCGTAAAGAAGCTTTATTCATGCAAAAGGTACGTTATTTTTTAAGAAAAAGTTGCCAAAGAATATAAGCGTAAATTACATCAATTCTTGAAATTAATTGCATTCTCAATATTTAAAAGTTTACTGAAGAAATAGAATAAAATAATAGGAGGGATTAAAGAATACTAACTTCCTTGTTGCTGAAGAAGGGCACGCCCCGTTTGCACACGAGCCTCAAGCACGTCATCTGCTCCAATACAAAGGGAATTTTAAACAAAACAAAAAAAAGGAAAAAAATAATATCAATTCTTTTTTGTTAATATTGCAATATGAATATAAATAACAATAACATAAAAATGAAGGAATTACTTTTGATGTAGAATGGGGAAGGGGAAGCCAAGCCAACGAGAAGGAAGAAGAGAAACAAGAAGAAGCATTTTTTGAACCCCATCAGGTTCTCTTCTTCTTTTGTTTAGATTAAATATTATCTTTTTTTTCCCCAGTAATTGTGATGAGAAATCTCTTTGAAATTTTCACAAATTGTTTTGTTTAGAGAAAGAAATGTTTGATTAAGGAACGGAAGCTAATGAAGAGAAAAGAGAGAGACTCGGAGAAAGAAAGGCAGAAATTAATATGAGGAAGATTTAATTTGTTTGGTTTGATTTCAATCCATTGATTTGTTTAGATTTATTGGTTAATTTCTCTAGTTGGAGAGGTCTCTCCAAAAATAATTTTACTATTTTAATAATACTATCTCTTTCGTACCATCAAGAGTTATGGTAGGATGAATAAAACTTATTAACCATTAATCTAACCCAAAAAATAATAAAATTTTGATAGGGAATACTCCCCCTTTAATAGGTCCTAAATAGCACAAAATTGAATTAGTAGAGGTACTAATAGGGAATATCGAACACCGGGTAAAAATTAAGAAGAAAACTATCTCTTTCATTGAAAAAGTGGAGGAGTTATTTTATAGTTACTGTTACTGCTAGTTTTCAAGAGGAGCATTGGAGTAATTGTAAAATTGTCTTCATGTGATCTATAAGTCACGGGTTTAAGTCATGGAAACAGCCACTAATGCTTCTATTAGGATAGGCTGTGTACATCACACCTTTTGGGTACGACTCTTTCCCGGTGCGGGATACTTTGTGCACCGGGCTACCTTTATTTATTACTACTAGTTTCCTATATAGTGTACCATAGATTTTCAATTACATTGTACTAATTTAATGAGTTATTCATTTTGGTTAATCTGTCGCCCTTTTAGGTTCTTTATTAATGTGGTGTGTGAATTAGTGATTAGTATTTTACGGTATACATCAATTTTGCTCTTCCTTTAATACATAATTAAGTTGGATACAGGATACGTTATAGCTACATTTCTTTTTAATTTTTGTATTACTTATGTTTTAAAGATAAAACGAAAACTCTATGGAGTATAATAAAACTCCCTATTACAAGAACACTTAAAGTGAGTGTCTAATCAAAATATGGGATGATTCAAATGAAGTAAGATGGCTTATATTTACACGGCAAAGTTCTTGGACCCCAAATAAAGAAAAAAGAATAAAAGAAAATATTTTTATTCTTTGGCTCCAAGCTAGAATTCTCGAGAGGCAAAGGCATCGCAATTTAGAGTTTGGTCCGGTTCGAGGTAAGTAATGATTGTAAATGTTGCTCTGAGGGTATGAAACCCTAGATTTCACATAGTTTCACTACTTTGAGGTGACACACACGCTAGATGACGAGCGTGGGGTCGTGCACCGTTGGGGATTGTGACTAGGTCCATCCCGTACGACTATTATGTCACGTATTTGATTGAAAACTATTTGATACTATTGTGTTTTGGAAAGTATAATTATGTTTTGGGTTGAATGCCATATTTGGGCCTCGTGCCAACTGTTTGGACCCTTAGGGTTTTTTTTACTGAAATTCCTTACTGTTTTGATTTAATAACTGTACTCAGTCATGCTATGTTTTACTGATTTCATAACTCAGTCTTATTTACCCTAATTTGATGCATAAATGATATTTCGACTGAGCATCCTGTTTTACTGTAGCTCGAGTGGCTTGAGAGGTTTCTGACTGAGTAAGACCGAGGACCTGTGTTGTGAGGATATCATGGGATCGGGCTGCGCACAACAACATGTTGTACTGATTTGTGATATATGAAGTCAAAAGTTCGCAAAATATTGGAAATGCTACAAGTATGCGGCCGCATAATTCACATATGGACCGCATAATTCAGATGGTGATCGCAAACTGAGACAGACTTATTGGCCAAATGAAGAGAAGAATATGCGGTCCATTATGCGGTCGCATAACACTTGTGCGAGCTGCATAACGGTCATATAATTCCATTAGAAGAAGTTTCTCATCAAGATTTGTGATGGTATATGCAGTCGTATAACACACATGCGAACTGCATAATCGATATGCGATTGAAGCTGGAACTGGTGACTTATTAAGTCTGCGATGGAATGAAGAGTATGCGGACCGCACGTGGTCTGCGACCATTATGCGGTCGCATAAGCTGTCTAAAGGGGCATTTTTGTCCGATTTGACCACGAATTTTGGTCCACTATAAAAAGGATAACTAGGGTTTTTCTAGGTCATTCAAGTCTGAAAAAGGTCCTACATTGAGAGCATTGAATACTCTATTAATGTGGAACCTTGTGAAGAAGGAATCTTGCACTTTTGTAAGCTTTATGACTTTATTTATTACTTTGTTCTTGTGGTTTAGCATGTGTAGCTAGTTTTAAACACTAACGTTGTGGACCCTAAATGAGTGAAATGTTAATGAGTGTTTAACATTGAATATATATATAATGGTTGGTTGATATTTATTCATTTCTTATGCTTTGTTTATGGTTGGTGGTTGCAAACATTAATCTATTCCATTTTACTCTTTCTTTACTTGGAAAAGTTGGGTTAGGGTTTGGTAGAAATAAATATCAAGAACTCAAGACATTAAATCTTGTTTAATAGAGTTACTTGGGAATAAATGGGTTCTACTTGGCATAAATTGGTTGTTCTTAAATTGCAACTCTTTTATATTTGAAAAAATCATAAAGAGAAAATACTACCCAACTATTGGAAAATATTGGGTAGTCATTTATAAACCATTTGCATATCAAAGGTCCTTCCATTATAAATATATCATATTAACACCGACAACATAACATTTCATTGACGGGGACACAACCTTGGTTTCCTTAATCAAATTATTCACATTCTCATAACACAATTAGTTATCTTCTCAATTCACAACTTTATCATTCTCTTGCTACGTTAAAGGAATAGAATTACAACCTAAGTCAAGTTTCACGCTACTCAAGTAATCTTTTCACACCATATTCCCTGTGGAATTCGACCCCAACCTTGTTGGGTTATTATATTTGACACCAAGCGCCTTACATTATTTAGTTTAAGTGTAATTTGAGCGTATCAGATTTTGGCGCCGTTGTCGGGGAATATGGCTTTGAAATTACTAATTAGTGTGTGCTTTACTTCACGTCTTCTTCTATTCTATCATACTTTGCTTGTTTTGCTTGATGTTGATAGAAAAATATAATCGAATATGAGGAAAAATAAAATCCTTTTGCGGACATAGATGAGTACATTGAGGATACAAATGCTATTGTACCTCTGAGAGTTGATGCTACCACTTTCAAGGTGGAACATGGTTTAATCCTAATGCTCAAAGTGGAGGTTTTTTTCAGGAATTCTACTGATGATGATCCGACACAATATCTCAGAAACTTCTTGGGTGTGTGTGATGCACAAGCAGAACAACATCTCAGATGATGCCCCAAGGTTGAGAGTGTTTAAGTACTCACTGGCTGGGGAAGCAAGGAAATGGATTCAAAATTTGGCACCAAATTTCATTCATTCTTGGCCTGAACTTGTCCGAGCATTCTTAGCTAAATAGTTCCCGTAAAGCAAGAAATCTGAGCTCCGAGATAAAATTTTCTTTTTCAAGCAACTACTAGGAGAACATCTACACGAGGCATGAGATCGATTCAAGTTATATTTGGTGAGGTCGCCTAATCATGGTTTTCCGGATTCTATCTTGTTGGAGAAATTCTACACGGGTTTAGATGCTATGAACCAATCTATAGCCAAGAATGCAGCTGATGAATCTTTTATGGATAAGACATTTGCAAGGATCACATAAATCCTTGACAAAATGGAAAAACATAACCAAGCTTGGCACTTAGAGGACACCACAGGTGGAATTGCATATGGTACTCCTTCCTTGACCAACATGATTAAGGAGAACCAAGAAAGAGATCAAGTAATTGCAGGGCTTGCCACCAATGTCAATGTGTTGACAAAGATATTTACTGAAATCCAAACAAAAAAGGTAAATGTGGTGGAAGATGTTCAACCCATATCAAATGAAGATTATGAGGAAACAAACTATGTCAACAACTCTCAAGGAGGCTATCAAAGGCAACAATACCAAGGTCAAGGACAACAAAATCAATGGAGGCCTAATCCGCAAGGTCAAGGCAACCAACAGTGGCGAAATGACCAAGGTATCTCAAATCAAGGGAATTGGAGTAACAACAACAACATCTCAAATCGAAGTTCGAACCTTTATATTCCACCAAAGGGGCAATATTCAAATCAAGGTTCCTCAAGTGATTCCAAGTTGGAAAACATGCTTGAATGGGTATTGCAAAATCAAGAAAAGTCCGACAATTCAATGAGGAATATGACCGAGCTTGTTGGCTCTCATACTGCATCCATTCAAAAATTGGAGATGCAAATGAGAGATCTCTCGAGGTAACAAATCCAAAGCAAAAGGGGACACTCCCAAGTGACACAATTGCGAACCCAAAGGGTAGTGGTAGTGGTCCAACTTCTCATTGCATGACAATTACTACTTGGAGTGGGAAGGTACTTCAAGGAGAGAGTGAACAAGTGGTTGAAGTGGAAGAGTCTGAACAAGAAGTTGAGGCACAAGTTGAAGCGCCAATTGTTGTTGAAGCTAAAAAGGTCCCGGAAGAGTTGAAAGTTCAAGAAGTGAACCAGGAAGAGGTTAAGGAAAAGGTAAAAGAGACGCCAAAAACTCTACCACCTATTCCTAGACCTCCTCCTCCTTTCCCTTAAAGACTTGCTAGGAGGATTGATGATAGCAAACTAGAAAAGTTCTATGACATTCTCAAGCAATTATCGGTAAATATTCCATTTGTGGAAGCATTTCAAGAGATGCCGGGTTTTGCTAAGTATTTGAAAGACTTGATCACCAAGAAGAAAACCACTAAGAATGAAGTGGTGAATTTGACTCACCGGGTTAGTTACATCATTGCAACAACCACCGTTCAAAAGAAAGAAGACCCAGGAGCTTTCACTATTCCATGCACTATTGGGGAGCGTGATTTTGTAAGAGCTCATTGTGATAATGGGGCTAGCATACACTTAATGTCCCTTGCTATTTACAATAAAGCAAGGTTAGGTATGCCGAGGCCTACAAGTATGAGGTTGCAAACGCCGTTCGTTCCATAAAGAGACCGGTGGGAATTGTTGATGATGTGCTTGTGAAAG